GCATTCCTCCAGTCCACACATTACCAAATATAGTTGGGTGGCGTAGAGAATCTGGCCGGACAGGCTGTCGCTAAGGGAGAGGGGTGAGGCGGCGGGGTGGGGGAGAATGCCACAGACTCAAATTCTTTCTGAATGTAAAGAATGAATTAGAAAGATGGAGTTCTACTCACCACCCTCTTCATGCGGCGCTTGTTCTTCTTCCTGTTGCTGGGCATTTTGGTGTTTTCTGCTGGACCGACGACCAAGGCTGAGAGAATGAGAGGAGCAGAGAGAGCGAGTGAGCAGAACCGATGTTTATAAAGCCCCCCCTGTGTCTCTGTTACCTTTGCAGGGAACCTATGAGAGAAGTGGGATGAGAGGAAAAGGGGCGTGTTCTTAATGGGGGTGGAGGGAGCGGGTGGGGGGTCTGTGCATGTGGCGTGGGTCTGCACGCATGCACATGCATCACGCACTTATTATAGTTGGTTCATTCAGTGTTTGCTGTATGCTGGGTTATGTAAGCACCAGGTCTCAGCATGCCACACACCCCTCCCCCCTCTTTCTCACTTTCTCCCTTTTCATTTAGAAGGTGCACACATGGTAACATGTTCCTGGACTTGTTCTTCTCCCCCCGTGTTGTTACATTTCTACCGTGTGTCTGGCACTTTCTGTATTATTGCTAATACACAATGACGGAACTGTTTTCTCTTCTCCTCCTCTTAAGAAAAATTATTTCGAAGTCCAACAGTTGTTATTGCAATGTGTCTGGAAATACAAGAATAATTTGCAGCGGAATCAGATTTTTAATACCAAACACATTTTGACAAGTTTTATGTTTTATCTTTGGTGACATTTTGTTAAATCAGGTTTTTTAATCTGTTTTTCAACAACCGCATCAAAGACAAAATCCACATTTTTCACCAAATGGAATCGACTCGGTATTTACACCTTGGAGGAGATAAAGAACCTACAGTACATTAAACGTTAATCTTCCTAGTACCTTTGGGACTGGTTACCTTGTGATTTTCAACAAATCCAATGGAATATTTTAAGGAACACTATCCTTGTCCGTAGACGAGGCAAAGAAGCGGGTTACAACGTGAAAGACGAGCCCCAGAATTCTATCAAATGAGGAAACATCATTATCAGAAGGGTTTCCAAATATATTAGTCAAAGGGACCAGAATTTTTCTGCCCAGATACCTAGGGGGCAGAAATTAAATTGTTGAGTTATAAACGTTGGTGATCACTGATAGTTATTTAGGTCTCAGATTTTTTTTTTTTTTTTTTAGTTTCTTTGATAGTAGGGACCACACGACATTTTGTCTTTTATTCTAAAAAATGTTGGAATGTACTTGCGGGCTGGATTGGACAGTTCGGTGTGCTGGTTTCACCCCACGAGCTGCCAGTTGATGATAACTAAACGCCACACAGCCATATGGAGTGCAGTACATGTACCCAGGCAGACATGTAGTCAGCTTATCTGAAAGACTGCAGGAGACACAGTTCTGTCAGCTGGTCAGAGAGGATCACTATCTTTAAATAGACACGTACTTTACGTGTACTGACCACACACACACACATACTTCCACCCCCCACCCCCCACACACAGAGGGGAATTTTGTAAATCAACAAACACCCCTCTCAAGATTAACTCTGTGGTTACCACTCTGTTCTAATAATGCCAAACACACAAGGAAGAGCAGACACAGTGCCAGTGGACTATTCTTGAGTTTTAACGTTTATCGCGCGTTGTAACATATCATACTTGTATGATGTATTGTAAACGTCAAACAAGAACTAAAATAAAAATCATGTGTTAAATTATTTTTAGTGATTAAGATTATGGTTTGGAACCAATATGTTCTACCTCCAAGTTTGAAAAAAAAAAAAAATATACTGTAGTCATGTTTGTACTGCCTTTGATAGTTGATGGTACAGCCAATATTTGTATATCTGACCAATGTGGGTAAAATTATACTGAAAGTAAGCATGACGTACTGTATATATGGGCACATGCATAAAACTAAAAAAAACTAAAAAAAGACAAGATAAAGAAATGAGAGCACGGTGTAGAGAGCTGGGTCAAACTGGTAACGGAGAGATGTGTGCTCACACATTCATCACATAACACACACACACACACAGTGGAATAAATGCTTTGTTAACACTTGATAACCGCTAATTTTAACCCTTTATTATTAAAAAATACTGTAAATGCCTAATCCTTATCCTTAATCTAACTCTAATGTGACCCTGATTCTAATCCAAACTCAATACTGAATGGTAAAATACAGCCTGACTTAGTGTTGAAGTACAAAATGTCCCCACAAGGACAAATTGACCCCACAAGTATAGCTATACCAGAAACACATAGACACGTGTTTACATTTTGTGAGTATTTCAGACATATGTAATGCTTGTTATCCTGACACTAATTATTACATCCATATTTCTATTTTTTACTTTAATCTAACTCTGACCTAAACCTCTGATTTCGTTAAGACACGAATATGTCCCCATAAGGACAAAGGGTCTACTCTACACAAAGGTATCTTAATAATTATGTCCCTGGAAGTGTAGGTATTCCAGGAAAATGCACACATACACACTCACAGTAGAAACACACACACACACACAACATCTTTCTGAACACTTCAGTTGGTAACAGGTTGCATGTAGGGTCTATACAAGTTGCCCCCAGGTGGGCAAAGGGCAACTTTTAGCCACATGTGGCCCGCACATTTTATTATCAAGTTCAGTGTGTACCATGCAGCCCAAGAACAACCCACGAGACCCACGTTACACTTCTGTGTTTAAATTTGAAGATTTAACAGACGACATCCGCTAACTCTTAAGAAATAGCTACATGCGTAGCTAAGTGTTAGCCCTGTGTTGATATACACCAGAGAACCTTGGCATCTGTGCTGACAGATTTACTGAAGGCTTAAACTGCGACATTTACGCCCAAGTGTTTTTACGACTAAGTTTCCATGAGCTCCACAGGAGAGCAGTTCGTTTTACTACATATATTTATGAATATTTTTTGACACTTTACACATTCCTTTTGCATGTCATTATGTACTGTCGTAGCAAATACAGTGGCCCTGTGTGTGAATATGTCATTTGATAACCTACATATATACTGTATTTACTTATGGTAATTAATACTTGTTTAGCATAAATTTGTTCATATTTATTTTAATAATTCCATCCATCCATCCATCCATCCATCATCAACCGCTTATCCGGGGCCAGGTCGCGGGGGCAACAGTCTGAGTAGGGACACCCAGACTTCCCTCTC